AGATAATCACATACATCTATGATATAGAGAGAACAAGATTATCGAGGTTGACAGCGAATTCCTTCACACAACGTCACTTTTTTCAGTTTGTCATTGATATTGTTCTTTATTATGTTTTTCCCTTCCGTGTGGAAAAAAATTAAAAGCCAAAACTGCCAAGTTGATGGTTTGTCTCTGATCCTGGAGTAGTTTGTTACCAACGTCGCTAGTATGTGCTTATATCATAAAAAATTGAAACGGACATCGCATCCACAGTGATAGCATATGCTCAACAACACATTGTTCAGTCATCGTTTATGTACGCTGTTTAAGTAAATAGCAAACCATATTTGCGTAAAATATCTGGCATGTTATTACGTAACTTCGGAGGTATAACAAAAAAAACTTTATTCAATTACCGCGAAACCGAGTACACATGAAAAAAACCGAGCACAATAACACAAAATCACTATATATACGATAGTACAACACTTAATGAAAGTTACAAACACAGTCACTATAATGTTATTACGCTATTACATACACAAATCACTGTAGCATCATTACACTCGGTCAATTCACTGCCACTATCACTATAGCACAAGGTCAATGCACAAGGTTTCACTACAAGTCACGGAAATGTTTCTACACTAAGAACGAAAGGAGCAAAATGCCCAACAGAGCCCAAGATGAACCTGCCAATACTATGGTAGAGAAACCCACACTGCACAAACTAGATTTATTGAAGAAAGTGAGACTACAGTTTCGGAATCGTTCTCGAAGGCCCGATGTTGTCTCACTTTCTTCAATAAATCTAGCTTGTGCATTGTGGCTCTTTCTACCAAAAACACTCAATGGAGATGCTCACAGCGACTCACTTAGTAAGAAACAACAAGTCATCTTGCTGTGTTGTCTATGCTCTTTTGTCCTGTTTTCCTTCCTTCTTCATAACGAGAGAGCAAAAGCTAGACATTATCAGAGTTGATAATATGAAGCTTTTTTTGTGTGTGGAATTCGCTAATAACGTCGCTAGTCTGAGTTTATTTTATATAAAAAAAAATATATATACCAATGACAACAGCTATCTATTCCTATGTATTCCATTTATAGCTACCTATTTCCATTTATATATTCCTTTCTAACAAACTATTTTTGTATATGTATTCTTATCTATATTTCTATTTATGCCTGTCTATCTATCCCTGCATATCTCTTTATGTGTATTTCTACCTATGCATTCCTATCTATCTATTCCTGTCTATTACTATCTATGCATTCCTGTCTATCTATGTATTACTGTACATCTATTTCTATCTATTCCTGTCTATCTATCGATTCCTATCTGTATATTCCTATCTATCAATCTCTGTTTATATATTCCTATCTATCTATCTCTGTTTATGTATTCCTATATCTATCTATCTATTCCTGTTCATATATTCCTATCTATCTATCTACTCCTATCTCTTTATTTCTGTCTATCTATCCATCTGTCTATGTAATCCTATCTATCTCTCTACTCCTATCTCTTTATTCCCGTCTATCTATCCATTCCTATCTGTCTATCTACATGTGGAGAGAGAATAGGCCTACAATGCCAAGGTGTCGATTCTCAAATAATTCTCAAGTAATTCTCAAATAAAGTCGATAATTTGTGTTTATTTTGTGATAATTCATAACAACTAAAACCGCAAAGAGATTATGACTATACAACGAGTTTTTTTTTTTTT